ACATAATATTTAATAAATTTGATGAGAGTTGATTAAACAAAAATCGAGTTTGTCATATATTACAAAAATATTTTGTGATACATAATATAATATGTTAAAAAATGGTAAAAACTTTTTTGATATATAATATAATAAATAGAATGATGATATAATATAATATACATATACATATACATATAAATATAAATATACATTTACATATACATATATACATATATACATATATACATATATACATATATACATATATACATATACATATAAAGACAATGATATATATATATATACATACACATAGTTATGTATGTACTGTATACACGTGTATACATATTACAGTGTATATATATATAATTATATAATTATCTATATATATATATACATAATGTATATATATATATACACACGCGTGATTGTAAAATATGTGTCTGTGTGTGTGCTTGGTGTACTAGCCATGGCTGGCACAAGATCCCTGCAACACTTGTCCTAGGTCCTAGATTTTTTCCAATCCTGAGTTAGCCGTTTGATTGTCAAGAGCATGAAGCTGGTCAACTGTAAAAATCACACGAGTTCGGCCACAGCCAGTCTGCAAGATGGAGACCAAACTCGCCTATCCTATTCCAGAGGAAGAAACTCCTCGATGAGCATCCTCGGAAATGGATAAAAAACACACCTGGTTGGCCACTCTAGTCACACAAAGCCCATCAGGCACTCGCACGTCATGTGCGCGTGACAGGATGACTAACCGATTGAATCGAACTGGTCTAAAAGTCTGAATTGTTTTGGGAGACGCCGGAGGGACTCGCAGAGCACGATTCTGCTCCCTGGCCTAGACAAGGTGCTCCCCAGAAGTTCGTGTCCCCACATTCAAGTAGTAAATCAAAGACATTCAAAGACCTGTCTTGGTATGCCAAATTTGCCGTCAGTCCTAAGCACTGCGACATGACATGAATGCTGTCGAGTCTGCTGGACTTGGCTGGAATAAAAATTCTTAACCTTCGCAATGCTGGCAATGCCCCACACACACGACTGTAGAAACCTAGAGTCTAGAGGCTTTGAATCGGGCACGAACCTCTCGTCTCAGCACAAATCACTTGGCATAGTTTCCATGTCAAACCTCCAGCAAGCAAATTGTGGGTCTCTCACTGCCGGCCAAGGGAACGGTCCGCCTTGGTTCGGCTTTCGGCTCATCACTGACAAGGACAGTCGCGATGATAGAATCTTAGCGTGTCTAGTTATTGATTGATAAACTTGTCCACAAACATAGCCTCTCTGGAGAAACAAAGAGAAGCAAAAGGCCTTGAAGAAAACAGCATGTAGAAAATCAGAGACAGACCATAGCACAGCAGCCAACCTAAAGACACAGCTGGACCTTTTGTCTCATCCCAGAAGTGCCTTTTGCCACTTCAGACATACCTTCAACTTCACCACCCAACAGATCCAAACAAAGACCCCGAAAGCTGGAGTGCCCTGCCACTCCACCTGTCCTTGCGTGATCAGCCAAGGCACAAGTTTCTTCAAGTCCTCTTTGAATCCTCCAGTGCATTTGTGTGGGCATGCCGTTGTGTGAGTCTATCACTGACTGAAATCATGAGAACTGAAAAAGTCAGCTACAAATTATCCGACTTACTCTGCTGCATCAGACCCTATGGGGGGAAGATGCGTGTAACATGCATGTTGTTTGCATGTTCGAAATGCATGTCTGGAAAAAATGCAACTGTTAGATGAATCGAAATAATCACATGATGCATCTTGTTCCTTTCCGGCCGTGCGAGCGGTCAGACAGACCCTGCTGGGGAGCCTTGATGGATAGTGATGCGAACAGAATCTGTGCCTTTTCTCTCCCAAAGATAGCAACATGTGTTCTCAACATGCATTCTGCAACCTCTTAAAAACCCATGCATTCCCAACATGGGAAAAACATGCATTTCAACATGCATTTGCTGGATACGGAGCTGATAAGACTGTCTTAGTAACTATCCAGTACAGCCCCGAACAGCGAAAGAGAAAGCTATGGAATCTGGCTCGGAGTCTGATGTAGTTGTTTGGGTTTGAACGGTCGAACTGCATGCTTTGCTGCCCTGTTTGCTTGCCTACAAAGGACCGAAACCCAAGGCACAATGAGCATATCACCCTTCCAGTGTCCGCCTACTTCCATCGTCTGGCCCGGAATTACAAACAGCAACCACCTGCCTGATGGAAATGCTGGACTCTGTCGGATGAGTTCCTGAAGCCAGAGCTTTCATAGATTAGATGGGTCGGCTCAAGATGCGTAAAAAAAGGGCATCGCCCTAAAAATCCTTTTCTTTTTGGAGAAAGTCATGGAAGAACATCTGAAGGAAAGGGAAACATGAAGAAGGATTGTGGCTTGTCGATTCTATTACACTTCATCCACAAAGTCTTCGAGTATCTCTGAACTCATACAGATAGGCCCCAGCAAATCGGAATCACGTCGCACTGCACCAGTCCGCCCAAGTCCGCCCAAGTCCGCCCAAGTCCACAACTTGCAGTGAGGCTCCAGGAGGCGTGCCACTGTGAACTTTCGCAAGATTGGAATGACGGCTCGAGCCTTTGCGTTTGCATCACTTAGTCCAAAGCCAAATCTTGACGCAAACCACAGCACATGGAGGGGGAAACACATGTTGGGAATTTCATGGATTTGCAGAAAATGCCAGAGGCATCCAGAGGCTGTAAAACAGTCTCTGACTCCCAGGACTCACCAGAGAGGGATGATGAAGCTATGCAGTGAAGGAGAGAAAAAGAACAAAAACAATGGCCAATACAGGTCAACCAAGACAAGCATGATGACAACGGAAGGTACGACAACAAAGTCAGAAATAGTCGTACCAAGAAGCCCCCAAAAAAATAACAATTGAACTCACAGCGGCAATGCTGAGTTTTCCTTTGCCTGTTCGGGATCTCAGTCCTGTTCGGGAAATTGATCTCAGGATTCAAGATCGGACAAAACAAAGCAAGCTATCTAACAAGCTTACCTTTGCAAATGCACAATGCACAACATCATCCAAAACGAAAACATCAATAGAGAGAACGCAGATCACGGTCTTTTAAACTATCACAAGCTAGATAGAAGTTGCATTGCTCCAAGTTGTCCAGCCCGAAAATGTGTCGTAATCTCATTGATTGCTGCTTGCAAGGTGGCAGAGTAGTTTGATGCTGCAAACAATGCAATTTCGTGCATGATGCAGTCCATATTTTGAATTATCATAAGAGAGAAAGAGAGAGAGAGAGAGATGTTGAAAACAGCACAAACCCTAAACGTTCACAACAGTTCTGCAATTCGAAAAATCTTGCAGTTGACAACTCTTGGAGAATGAGTTTCCTCTGGTGTACTTGATTTCTTTGGAAAGGGAGACAACTGGGCAAATGAGTGGGTGCTCCACAGATGCAAAGTGGGGGGAAGCATGAAGACAAGCTTCAAGATGCGCCAATATATGTTGCGCCTAAACTCCACGCACAGCTAACCACCCCTCAATAGGATTGCTATGTGACTCCAAGCCTTTTGTTTAAGACTAAAACACCAGCTGAAACTGACCACAGCTACTCATGAGGGTCAAAACAAACCTGCACCCATCTTCCAAATGCTTATGTGATCTTCAGGTGCTTTTCTTCAGCTTCGAAGAATAACCCAGAGCCAAGTGACATGCAGAACATGGTTGTCATCCGGGTGAGGCAATGATGTTAAGCGTCGTCGAAGCATGTGGATCACGAATAGCATCCGCCTGTTCCTCGGATTCAGCAACAAGCTGCTGATAGCTGCTGTATGATTGCCAGATCTTCACGTTCTTCATTTCTAAGACTTGGAAGAATGGCACAGAATGGCACAGATATATCCCCTTGGCTTGGGCTTGGAATCAAACTTGTGTACCCCAAAGGGTTTGCAAACAAGTTTTTGGTGTCTTGACGGCCTAGCTTCAAGCCATTTCTTCCGCACCTCCTCTCAATGTGGGGCAGCACAAGGGAAAGAACCTGTCAAGACTGGGAAGAGATGGACACAACCGCAACATTTAAGAAAGGTTTCTTTATGTTTCTTTGATTTCAAGACGGCATCCAATCCCATGTGTCAATTCCAGAAAGAAAAACACACACGATGAAAGAGCGTTCTCGAGTTCATGTTCCTGTCTGGGTGAGAATTCGTGGCTGTTCGACATTTTTTGCACACCCGCGTTCCAACAAACTCTGAAGAATGAGGATCAAATAAATGGAGCGCGATGAGCTCAAAACATGTGCAAACTTCAAACTGCCACACAAAGACCAGGATTGGACATGAGCAGTGCTTCCCCAGTGGCCTCTGCTTCCCCCAGCATTTCAAAAAGTTGCCGCTGTGCCTCTTGGCTCACACCAGTTGCAGCATAAGGATGACAACCTATTGAGGATACGATACGGTTTCAGCGGTGAAAGTTGGAGAAAAAATCAGACCTGGTACTCGGACCTTGTCCATCTTCACTTTCGGCTCTCGGTGTGCCAGGTGGCCAAACTCACAATTTTCCCCTTGTCGACAATTGCCGTAGAAGAAACGGATGCAAAAACGGCCACAAACCTCAAGTGAAGCCCAGCAGGGCGTCTTAAACTGGCGTAGTTAGACCATGTTAGACCAAAGTGTCCAGGTTACAAAATGTGGAGGTTGAAAACTTGAGTCAATTCAGTATTTGCCAATTTTGCTGCCTGAAATAAGATGTTGTGGCTGCCCCTACAAAGTGTTTGACCTCCCCAACGAAGGCAAATAGCCAGGTTATGGGGTGGACCGAACCAAACACGACGTTTCTTTTTCCAACGGTACCTACATCACCTCATTAGTAGGTTGCATTAATTTGAAATGCCTACATGCCTATGGACTGCGCCAACAGGATGGATGACCCCAGATTGAAAAGCCATTTTTTGGTTCATCAAGGTTGCTGTAGTGCCCTCAAAGGTCTTGATTCAAGGCAATCCATGACCAAACTGGGACATTGCACAGGAAAAAAACACTCTGGCTTGCAAGAGACTTCAGGATGCCCAAGGCTGCCCTTGGACGTGTTCCCCTGCGCATCAATGGGCCACTCGTAGTTCTCTCCAGTTTTATGGAGCAATCCGTCCACGTACTTCTCTGAGCAAGCATCGTTAGCCTTGCCTGGGGGAAATGACAATCGATATAAAGTCGATGTATTTGACGAAGCAAGGCATTCACTTGAATTCAGGAACCCGAATGCACCGTGTCCGAAGGAGAGGAAACTGTCTATCAGGACTTTGATATTCGGACGTTTTTTTCCAAATTGAAATGTTGCGCACGGTGGATTTTTTGAAAAACACTTGCGCCCAAGACTGTTATAGGACACTCTTGCACAACCATCTTGCAAACTACACTTGAAGCGCGTTCTGACACGCTTGCCTAGAGCGCTCCTCTAGAACTGTGCCTTGAACAGTTCACTCCCGGCTACGAACACAAGACACAAACCAGGAAAACACAACCCCACCACGCAGTATAAATAATCCCCTACGCATGGTGAAGAACGAAGGCCACAAACCTCAAGGCAAATCGCAAACCACCCTTTTCAACCAAATTGTTTGTAAGGATGCCAAAAATTACTTTACTTCGTGTGATCCCCACCCTGGCATATCATTCTAACAGTCTATCTGCCATATATTCTGACTTTCTACGTGACATTATATCTGGCATTCTATCGGCATCTATTCTGACATTCTATCTGGCAGACATATATTCTGGCATTCTATCTGGCATCTAATCTGACATTCTTTCTGACATATGTTCTGACATTCTACATGTCAGAGATGTATTCTGACATTCCACCTGGCATCTAATCTCACATTCTTCCTGGCATTCTATCTGACATATATTCAGATTTTCTATCTGTCATTCTTTCTGGCATTCTGTCTGGCAGTTTTTCTGGCATTCTATCTGACGTATGGTGTTCGAGTCCAGGCATCCTAGAGGATCTGGAAGTGGAATATGGTGGTCGGGTCCAGGCACACTCCACAGCATCCGGAGCTCGCTGAGGAGGAGACGAAGAGAAGAAGGAGGAGAAGGAAGAGTTGCACCTTTGTTAAAATCTAAAGACCCGGACCTGCCAGTTGAAAAAACAAGAAGAACCATGCCACATCATACCACCACTCCAGAACCTGTGCCTACCCTGCAGACCTGCCCTACCCTCTATCAAGTCGGAACAAAGTGCAAACAGCGTCTCCCAGCACTGCTATGTCCCGACACTCAATCCTACTGGCGCCACAAAGCTTTCGGCCAATGTTACGTCTCAACACTCTATCCAAACAAACCTTTCCAAGTATCACATGACCAACCACTCACGCAAACACAAGACTGGAACTGTACTCTCAACTCTGATCAGCATGCTTGCTTGCAGCGCCTCCATACAGAAGCTGCCGGCAAGATGCTATCCAGAACTGCGTGCACTCAATCCCAAGGTTTCTTTCAATACTCTGTCCCAACACTCTATTATTGACTCCAACATTCTACCACTTCGACTACACCGCACCTTGCACAAGCTCTTCGCTCAAACAGTTCCGACACAAAATGTAAATAATTGGTCAACCTTTTGCTCTTCCCTCACTCCAAAGTGCGCCACAATACCCGCGAAATCCCTCACTCCAAAGTCATTAATAGTCCAATGTGCCGGCACTCTTGCCATCAAGTCTGGCCGAAGAGTCCATAAGATGCGCAGAAGGCGGAAAGAAAAAAAACATTTTTCCAAGGCGTAAACAAGGTTCCCGAGGGCAGCAGAAATCACCTCTAACAGCATGACCCTGCAAACGGTTCTTGGAAACGTTGCCTCCCACAGTCCACTGCAAAAGTGATCAAATTTGTCGAAGCGTGGCTCCCGCGCAAGGTCAATACAATTTTGCATGTCTTCCTGGTCTGCCCTGCATGCCCGGTCTGCCCTACCAAACGTGCAGCCGTTCACCCTGCAAACATACCAAGGCAAGGATGGTTTTTTTTCTGGCACTGTGAACAAAACAGGGCGCAAACACTTCTAGACATAAACACCACAGGTGGTGAACGCAACGCCCTGCCCCTGCTCATCCACGCTCTCCCTTTCACACCAACAGAACCCCTTGTAAAAACGGAGCAGGTGCTGCAGCATTACTGTGGCATACTCCATTGTAGAGGGGAAAAAACACTGGCAAATTCAGAATTCTGCAAAGCAATGCTGGGGCGACAACAATTCAACGAGGGCGGCAAACTAGAACTGCGCTGGTTTCGGGTTCCATCGTTCTCCTCGCGCCATCACTGTCATGTCTGTTTCCGGGAAAAAAATATAGCAAGAAAATGTGAGTAGATGTCAGCTGCAAGTTCATGCCCGAAGTATCCCGAGAAATTTTTTAAATTCCTGAATGAAATGTGAATCCCGGGAAACAAAAGGGTATGACTCGGTACCACTGTGACAATTTTGGGTGAGTAATGAGCTGCGGATCCTAGAAGCAAACGGTCGCAGTCCATGGTATGAAAACAGTAGCCGCATCCTATACAAGCTG